AATTTGACATGTTCAGCCGAAAAACAAAAGTTTTTAGCTGGAAAACAAAAAGGAGAAATCTTTTAGGTATAAGTCGATTACGGGTCGGGTACGGGTACACAGTTCTCGGGTCGGGTCGGGTACGGGTGGAAAAAAAATTTTCGGGTCGAGTACGGGTACAAAAATGGTACCCGTGCACATCTCTAATTTCAATGATTAATTAATTTTTTAAACGTACTTTTCAATAAATAGTGCGCTCTTTAGTAAAAAATACACTATTTATGAGAACACAGAGAGAGATTTCGCCAAAACCCCTAAGAAACCAGGTACATTTTCATAATTAAAAATATTGAGTTTTTAGAAAATATTAATTAATAAATGCATGGTCTTCTGTTAGGGCGTTTGAACTTATTCCCTGACATGTTCTCAAACAGAGGGTAGCTTTCTATTCTTGGGCGGGGAGGGGAAGCGGAGGTAAGTACTGTCGACTACGAAAAAGTCTTGCTGAAACTAGTTATATATATTTGTCGAAAATCAAAAATATGTACTACAAAGTATAGTATTTTTTCGCTTGGATAAAATATGCTTTGATTACGGGGGAGGGGCCATTCAGATTTTTCTCTAACATTCTCCGTTTGTAGAGGACACTTCGAAGTATATGTCCCGAAGTTTTTTCGATTTACTGACATTATTTGGCTGAGAAAACAATTAATTACTTAAAAAAATATTGTTAAATTTTTGAACAAGGGATTATTATTAAAAGAATTCCTGTCCATTCTCCATTCATCATAAAAGCCTTGTTCTTGCCTAGATCAATAGAGAAATGTGTGGAGAATATTTATTACGAGAAAATATGTAAGACTTTTTGTTCTTTCCTTCCGGGTATTGGCTAATTAGTACTAATTAACGTTAATTTAGCCTACTCTACTAGCATAAAGTCTTATTTGTAAAACAGCAATGCAACAAAAAGATTCAAGCAATACCTTATCTGACAGAGAATTTCACGGGCTACAATATGGACCACCTTAAGAATTTCAGAATTCGTTTTTGGTCGCTTGGTAAGTCCGGTAAGTCGTGAATTTAACAATATTGTTTTAAGTAATTAATTTTTTTCTCAGCCAAATAAGTTCAGTAATCCGAAAAAATTTCCGAACATACACTTCGAAGTGTCCTCTACCAACCGGTAAGGTTTGAAGAAAAATTTCAAAGCCTGAAAATATCGCTAGTTTTTGGCTCAGCGAAGATTTTTTCACCCCACCTTACAGCTAGTTTCGCTCGAAGCAAGCATTTTGAAACAAAACTTTGGATACAAAAGTTGTTCAGAATCGAATTCAGTAGTCCCTCACGAGAACTTTTTTTAAAATTTTCTGTTTTTGGTTTTTAAATTAAATTTTACAGTTTTTAAAATTTAAAAATTTCATATTTTTCAATTTAAAAAGTAAAAAAAGAAAATTTAAAAAAAGTTCTCGTGAGGGACTGCTGAATCCGATTCTGAACAACTTTTGTATCCAAAGTTTTGCTTCAAAATGCTTGCTTCGAGCGAAACTAGCCGTAAGGCTTTTTTCAAAATACTTTTAGCTCTAAAATTTTCACGAGAAGGTGAGAGTTAAATTTCTCCGTCAAATTTCATTTGAGAAGGATGTAAAGTTTTTCTCCTTATATAGATCAATGTTCTCTATCGATCTACGCCAGAATCAACCCCTCAGATCAAAACCTGAAGTTTTTATTATATTTAAAAATAGGGCAGAAAACCCGAAAAAAACTTCAAAATTTGTCTATCAAAAACTACAAATCCGGAAACTGAAAGCTTTGTTGAAACGTATACTCCGAAGTGTCCTCTACAAACTGGTAAAACAAAACGGGTGGGGGAACCCCTCCCGTCTCTTAAGAAATACGAGAGAACATTTCGTTGTCACTAAAAGTCACCTTTGAATCAATATTATAAAAACTATTCTATCTTTCTTGTCAGCGACAGAACATGAACGGTTTTTTACATGAACGTATGTTTGGTCGATATCTTTAAAGACGTTTGTGTATTATACACACAACAGTTCATTTCTACCTGTCAATCTAGCGTGAAGAAAATATTCCACAATGTCGTACAACCTTCTGTACGAAAAGTCTGCATAATATTGAAGGAAAGAGGTGAACAGAGTTGTTTAGAAGGTTTGATGTGTTCTTCTAATAAGTAGTTACTTGTTATTAATTGAACTATACAACTGTATCAAAAATTATGCAAACAGCAATGAGTTAGTTTTGTAATCAAAACGGTTTTTTATCTCAAGAATTTTTCTAGAAGGCATGGCTACAACACCCATAGATCAAGTTAGTGTAAATGTGATGCGTAAATCCGATGGTAAATTTCTTGACTTTATCTTATCTGAAAAAGCGACGGTTCGAGAACTGAAGAATGAATTAAAATTACATTTAACACCACAATTTTCCCAAGGCTGTCGTTTAATATTTCGTGATAAAGTACTTAAAGGAAGACATACATTAAAACATTATGGTCTTAAAGTAGGTGTTAATCAACAAGATATACTCATGGATGATTCAAAAGACTGGTCACCATCGTCGGAATCAGAACAAGAGTAAAGCATCTTAATTTCAAAAAAAACTCCACGATATTGTTTAGTGATGTGTTTCTGTTAGTTTTCGCTTTTTACTTTGTTCGTATATATCTGCATATTTGTATACATATTCTCGCTCAAGAAAATTCATCTTCTATGATTCATTTATCATTACAAAAGTCTAATAAAATATCTGGATGTCATTTCAACTTAACCCATATACCTAACAATACATAATTCTCATTTCTTTTCCCCGGTTAATTAGTTTTAGATCATTTTCTATTTTATCCTTATATTATCTATTTCAGCCATTTCTAATGATATAGAATTACTTGCTATAATTATTAATACCATACATATCTAAAAAAACGACGGGATATAAATCATGCATGTATTCTTCATGTATTCTTCATACAAAAACATTTATTCTTACAATAACTATTGGAATAAACTATTTATGCACCAGTATCAGTATTTACTGGGTACCCAAATAGTTTGGTTACACAGTATACAAGGTTTCTGTATATGTCCACATTAAACTCTGTCAAATTCATGGAAGCAGTCACGGAAACGTCGAGGCAACATCTGTCACTGTACAGTTCGTAACTGATGGAGAGTTATGATGCCGATGAAAATGTATTGAAATATTCGATGTTATGTACATATTTGATAAGAAACAAAAGCACGAGCGTTCGAGACATATCCGATTACCCACTGGACGACAACGTTCTGGTAGTTCCAACTTCCGTATTCTCGCTCAGAGATATTTGAAAAAGAACGACAGGTGCGTCGCTAGAATTAAGTTCAGAAGAATATGATTCCTTTGGGAGATCCGAAATATAAGCAGTACTGGCAATCACTCCAACACTAAAACAAATCAAAAGCCTTTTTAGTATCAGCCAACTAACAAGGAGGTTGGAAACCTTTAAAGTCTCCAGTCTACGATGAATATGACTCATGTTTTTACGCAGAAAAGTTCGATTAAAAGACATCTGTCGTCATAAAAACTCAAATTTCGACTATCGCACACCTGATATCGAGAGAAGTGGACCGAACAGACAACTTCTGTTTTCTTTCAAAGGACGGGGGATGATGAGAGCGAAAATCGGCCCCTTCTCAAATCAGTCTTATGTTAACTCCTCCGATGCAGTTTTTGTCCGCGATTAACCCTAACGTATTTTTAGGCCTTAAGAATCCTTTTCAGCGCCCAGCTTCTTTCACAGACAGAGATTTAGCATAGTTTGTATGTAGAAAGATGCAGAATTGAAAGGGCTACAGAAATAGGTATAATGTATTCTTTCAAATGCTAATTTTCGTTGATTTAGGGGCAAGATACCCAACGGGCCCAGTAATTTTGACTGATTGTGGAGTGGTGAATGAGATACGGTGTTGTATACGAAATAGGAGTCGAAATGCTTACCATATAGAAAATGTAGAATTCGTGCTTCAAATTGAAACGCCTCAGTTGCTTTTAAAAGTGTGCCGACAAACATTTATATAGAGAATAGTATATGCCTGTAGCTATTCGTATTTACGGGATCGCTCAAACTAGTGAGCCATGTTTATTTTTAGTTTTTCTCCTAGAAGATATTAGCTATAACGAATCTGAGGAAAGATTTAAATACCTCAAGGAGTTTTCAATCTGATCTATGGCAGATAAAGGTTCTTCAGAAGCTTCTCGAGCTCAGGTCTCTGGAAAACCTAAACGCTAGAAAACTAAGTCCACGAATTCTCGTGATACCTTTCTGCAACGTCCTCATTATGTACCGAAAAGATTTCTGATCAGATGAAAAAAGCCCCTGAGCTCTCAGCAGCACTGTTTTATCAAACAGCACTCAGTTAAAGAAAGATCCCATATCACCAAATTAATCAGAAAACTGTTTTTCATCTTTTTCCATAAGTCTACTAAACTTAGGATTTGAAAGAATACGCTATACCTTATTCTGTAGCCCTTTCAATTCTGCATCTTTCTACATACAAACTATGCTAAATCTCTGTCTGTAGCAGAAACTATAATCATTTTTATGTGCCACTATACGACAACAGTCGAGATACGTGTCAAGTATTTGTCCAATACATCTACCAAGACAAACTTTCAAAATAATTTAGTCTACCTCATTTTGTAGCCTGCATAATTTTCTATCGAATGATATATAAAGTAGAGTGTACATATACTCGTTGATATTATATACAGTCATTATATACAGCAAAAAAACGAAGAGCACATTTATCCTGTGATTACTCAAGCATGGTGAAACCGAAAAAGAAGCAAAAAGGTATATAACGGCGAGATCTAGATATGGATTTGTATACTGTACAATTAATACTGTTAGACTACATGGAATGAAAGCACAATTACATAATTCGCTGATTATTTGGTACTCATTAAGTCAAGTGTTAAAAATTAATGGTGTTATACAAGCTCTCTTAACTTATCTTATTTTTTATTAATCATATGTATGGCAAAGTCACTTATGCGCGAATTAAGAAAGCTATTGAAAATTACGATTATAGTCTTTCGTGAGAGTATTTTATTTTTTTCCGATCTTATTTTACGACAATTTCTCTCATCAAATGGATTTTGGAATAAAGTTGTATTAACAGATTCAAACATTTTACTTTTTGTCTATACAACAATATTGTTGATTATATCATTTACTTCACTTTATTGTTCCGATGCTTTTTTTGATAATGCAATGTTAGCCTCATTTTCTGGATCAAAATTAGATGAACAACTTGTATATATCACATTATCAACATTTTCAGCAGTGATTTCTGTTATTTCCTTTTTTAAATTAAAGTTACCAAAATGGAATATGTCAATTTATAATCGATTACAAAAAATTTTACATATATCAATTAGTTTATTACCACTTATATTACCATTTTGGAATGCTTCGAATGCCTATAATTCAACATTAACTAAAGATCGTCGAAATTCAATTTCATTACAAGTCAATATTCTAATGTTTATATTTCTTACGATAGGCATCTTATGTCTTATGATATTGATTTATTTTTTCAGTCGATTTCGTATTCCACGTCGAATTTGTTTGATTCTAATTTATTTATTCATTTTCAGTTTATTATACTTTATCTATAGTTATTCACAATCATGGAAAATTAATTTACGAAGAATTAATACTGGTAGTTTGCACTATCTTGATCGAAATAGAATGAATCCACATTGTCAAATATCCGATCATTTGCATTTTGATGACTTTATGCCAACAGGTTTGAATTTTATTTTAATAGATGTCTTTATATCGTATTGTAGTTTAGTATCTCTGATTTCGGCTAACAAAGAAAATCAATTTAAACAATTTTATATGGAAAAATCCACTTTTTTCTCTTATATAATGATTCACAAAGTTGGATGACTTATGTTTGCTTCGACACAGCGGTTCATAACAGATTGTTGCATCCATCAACTTTACATTCAAAGTTTTGCGTGTAAAGTGAAAATTTCAGGATTCTAAGAATCTTTACTAGATAAATCTCGAGAGAACTATTAATATCGTTGTACCTCTTTTCGGTACTTACAAGAGAATCTTTCCAAGTGTCAGAT